ACACAGGTAGTGGAGGAAATATTCTTTCCTCGAAAAGAGCTTAGACTTTATTGTTTCTGAAGAAGTTACTATTTGTATTTGGGAGAAGTTCTTACTTTAATACATCAGCCCTGAAGGAATGGGCAGATAGGAGGCTCCAGGAGAGGTAGCGGGTTTTATTCACCCACTCATCCCTTCTCTCCCCAGTTCTTTTGTTTTCCACCTGTCTTTGCAGCGAGCATGGTGTGAGAGCCACCGGACTGGAATCTGAGGGCACTGCCTCCTGCCTAGGGGAGCTTGAGCAAGTCTCTTGCCCTTCCTGAGTCTCCATGTCCCTGTCTGCAAAACAGATGCAGTAATATGAACACTAACACCTTATCTTGTATTGCAGGACTCCTTACCAAGCACTTTTGCATCCATTACCTCCCATAATGAGCTCAATACCCAGTGAGGAAGGTGAAATTGGATGAGGAAACCTGAGAGGAGGAGTGATTCTCCACCTTCTAGCCATGTGTGGCCTAATAGCCTTGACCTGTGTCTCCAGACTCCAAGTCCAGTGCTCATCCCAGGGGAGAACTGAAAAATGCAGCTGCCCAGGAAGGCAGGTTCTCTCCACTGGGGAATGGTGAGCTCTGCACATATGTGCTGGCTGCTTTACGGGCATTATCTTTGTGGATCCCTACAGCGACCGTGAGTGGAAGGGACTATTATTCCCATTTGACTGATTAAGAAACTGAGCCTCCGAGACAGGAAGTGATTTGCCCAAGATTACCCAGCATTCAGGATCATAGCCAGGGTTCGAATCCAGGGTTCAAACTCCAGAGCCCTTGCTTCTCTACCACCTCTGTTGTCTCTACAGACCTCTGGATATGGTTCTAAACAGTGAGCTTTCCCAGCTCAGAGCAGAGTGGGCAGAGGAGAGGGCCTGCTACAGAGAGCTGCACTCTCAGGATCTAGCAATGATACTCAACAGAAGGTCATACACATGTGCATGGAGATCTAGATCTTTATCTGTAAACTCCAGCAGATCAGAGAATAGAACATTTCGATAGCCTGGGGCCATTAAGTGTAGAGGCAAATGGCCCTTTCTATCCCATCTTCCTCAAGGCCATCCCAATATTGCAGAGCATCATGGGAACTGATAAAGGGGTAACTATGAATCCTTGATAAAAACCATTGGCCTCTCCCTCACAGGGCTGTTGGAGAGTTAGTGGTCTTAGCATAGGTGGCTGGTGCAGAGCCAGGTACACAGCTGGAACTCAATAAATGCACTATGGCCTCAGGCAGTAAAAATCAAGGATGCTGGGAGTAAGGGAGAGCTCACTGGGGACTAGTCTGGAAAGGCTCCATGGAAGAAGTGAGATGACATTGCTGTATAATGACAGGGAGAATTCAGATAAACAGGAAAGCTGTTCCAGGCAGGAGAAAGGCAGGAGCAAAGTCTTGGACATGAGAATTCCTAAGCTGCTTGCTGGCTCTCACAGAGAGCAAGAGTGGCCCCACTGGGGTGAAGGGGACCAGAGTAGTGAATTAAACAAATAGCAGCCAGCCTGCTCTGACGCCTGATATGTTGGGGATCTGCCTGGAGGGTGGAGTCTGAAATGGAGTTCATATTTCCCAGATCCTCCAAGCATCAGTGGCCTACTTGGGGACACACCTGGCTCAGCCCCAACTTTTCCCCTGCCTCCAGGCATGATGACCCCAGGGGTCCTGCAATTATCACATTCCATCCCTTCTGCTCTCTGTGGCTTTGTTTATTCTCAGTGCTCAGTCCTCTGTCTGCTCCCAATCAATTAACAACAACAACAACACACACACTGAGGAATGGCTCCTGGGTCCCAGCAGTTCCCACACCCTCTGGTACAGAGAGCACAGGCCCGGGGTCAGGAGATCTAACCACTCGACATGGTGGTATTGGTTTGTATTGGTTAGGAATGTATTGGGCTGCAAGTAACATACAACCTAACTGGCATAGCTTAAACAAATGGGTGCTTATTTTTCTTGCATAAGAAGAATTCTGGAGGAGAGCAGTCTCAGGGATAGTGCAGATACTCAAAGATTCTTTCCTTCTGATGCTGGAGTGGCTGGGGTACTGAACAGATCTCCCCACCATGTGCCTACACTAGCTGTGGAGCAAGGACATGGATCTGGGGCTTGGGAGATCTGGGCCCCATTCTGGTGTGCTGCTCACTAGCTGTGCAACTACAGACAAGTTACTTCACCTCTTTGAGGTTCAGTTCCCCTTCTGTCCTGCAGCAGCAAGGGCAGGACTAGATTATCTCCAGCTTCTGACATCTCATGATGACCTTTCTTCTTGATGTGAAGGTAAGCACTGTCTATGCACATACACAGATTGGCATATATAGTTACATCTTTTCAGTTTAAGGAGACTGAGATAGAACCTATTTTAATATGAAAACAGGAAACAAGGAATATGAAAAAGGACAGAAGGCATTTCAGGAACGACTTCCACGTCTTGCCCTTCTGTTCCTTCTAGACCATAGACCTATAGATGTACATAACTCAGGGCCACAGAGGGTCCTTCAGACAGAAAAACACTTTGGTTTTTTTCTTTTTCCTTCTCCTCCTTCTTTTTTTGCATGTAACATGCACACCCTGCCCCCCCATTTCCAGCACTTTATAGTACCATGATGTCATTTTACATAAGTGCAATGAAAAGTTCAAAGTATTTCTTTAATTCTAGCCTTTAGGAAAACCAGAAGCATTTTGAATTAAGTAGTGTCAGCTTCATTTCCTACCTTTTGGCATTCCCTGACTCATTATTTAACGTGTGGCTTCGGTGAGAAAAGCATTTAGGCAGAAACCTCATCCCCCAGCTACTTCTCTGGCCAATGTGGAATGTTCTGAACAGTCCAAACACTTTCTCTCAGCCCCCGCCCAAGGCTAAAACCCTTTTGTGCATCCTCTGGGTGTTTTCCCAGGTGACCTAGTTGACATTCCTGTCATCAGGATGCAGAATTGTGTGCCATGCTGTGTCCAAACCTGGCCTAGCTCCTGCCTACCCCTCCAGGCTCACCTCTTGCTCTCTTGACATTTACCCCAACCCACCATGTTGTTCCCCATCTCTGTGCCCCTGTACAGGCCGTCCTTCTGCTTGGAATGCCTTTCCACCTATCTTTACCTGGCTAACTCTACTCATGCTTTTAGACTCAGCATAAACACCTCTCTTCCAGGAAGCCCTGACCCAACCCCCCATGTTGGGCTAAATGCTCCTGCTGGGACACCCACAATGTTGTGTTCACCCACATTTCAGTTGGACTCTACGAAACATACATTTAATTAATAAGAATTCAACCATCACTGCACAGCTAAAGAGGGAGAAAGAGAGTAACATATTAAACAGGGCTGCCCTAGGCCCAGTGAACACTTGCCTGAGAGGGTGAGATGGAAATATCTCTGTCCTCTGATGTTTTTATATTGGGAGCATCTGTCCTCTCTGGGAATGATTTTGGTATTTAAAGACATATATGTCTCACAGACCAGGAAATGTCCCAGACGTAGCAAGATGGTTCACATGTTGGGGGACCAAAAGAGAAAAAAACAAAAATAGAAAAAGAAAAGCAAGACATACCCACTGCAAGGCCTTATTTGTTACGGAAGTTTTAGGATATGGTTCAAATCCCAGTTCTGGGGCTAACCACCTTGTGTACTTTGGTCAATTCACTGTCACTTGTCTAGACTTCAGATCACCAGGTGTGTTTGCCCATCTTATAGTGTTACCCTGAGGCTTACATGAGGTGACAAATGTAATGTACTCACAAAGTAGCCTCTCAATAGTTCATGTTACTCCAGGACACACTGCTCTCCTTTTTCAGAATCCTGCCTCAGTGGATTCCACCCACTGTTGGCCAGGACCACCAGACACATGCAAAGGAGAGTGGACAAAGGCTTCCAGGGAAGGTAGCATTTCCAATGTCCCAGGCTGCCAGCATCCACTGAGCTCGGGCCCAGCCTGGGACGCAGGGATGCTTCCAACCCTCCTGCAGTTACATGCTGGTGTATAAGAAGAGCCTTGTTATAAATCCCCTACAGGCATTTAGGAACTGGTCCTTGGGGGTTTCTAGGGCTTTGCCTCGCTCCTCCAAGCCCCCTTATAGCACTCTTCCTTCCGGATGGCATTTAGCTGGGTGCCCGTCCATCTCCCTCCTAACGACGAGGTCCTCTAAGGCAGGACACGCCTGCTGCCCTCGGGATGCCAAGCCCAGTCCCCGCTGCTCAGAGCCAGAGGCAGGAAGGGTGACTGAGTCCTCAACTCCCGGGTCACTGTCAGTGATGCAGGAACCCAGCTCCCGCCCGCAGCCCCGGCCCTATAATTGCTGCCGTGGCTGGATTCGGCGCGGCGCGGTCCCCGGGACGCGACCTCAGGTTTTGCACACAGCAGGTGCTCCATCAACTCTGTAAGTGCCAACACAGTAGTGGGGCTCAGGCCACCGCCCAGGGCAGTTTGCCGGCTTTTTCGGAGGTGTAGGCGTGCCTGGGACGCTGGGAACCCGCCGCCCCCGCCTCCCGCGGGGACCAGCCATCCCTTCCCCGCCCTGGGTGCCGCCCCCTTGGCCCGGGACAGGACCAAGTCGCCCCTAGCAACAGCAGCCGAGCCGGCTTCCTCCGGCCGCGCTGACTGGCCGAACTCCGGGAGGCGGCGGTGTCGTCACTTCCGGCATCCGGAGGCAGCAGAGGAAGCCGAGGGGCGGCCATCTTGGGTCCGTGAGGCTCTGAGGTGCCGGGAGCGGCTGCGGCGGGGGCCACCGGGCGGAGGCTGAGGCCGAAAGCGAGCCGGCGGGAGAAGAGCAGCCGGGCGCAGGTGCCGCCTCTGCAGCCCCCTCCATGGTCGGCGCCCGCAGCCCGCGGCGGCCTGTCTCGCGCTCTACCTCCTCCACATCCTCCTCCTCCTCAGGGGCCGCCGGCGGCGCTGTGTGGAGGCCCCGGCGCTGAAATCCGCGGCGCGACGGGCGAGAGCGGAGAAAGAGGCCAGGCGGTCCGGGCCCGGGGGGCACCCTGAGGCGCGGGGACGCCGGCGGGCCGACCCGCAGCCTGCCGCCACCGCCCGCCGCCGGCCGGGCCCCGCCACCGCCGCCCGCGGGGCTCCTCGGCGCAGCCGCCGGGGCCGGGGGAGCATGAGCCCCGGGACCCGCCGGGGGACGGCCCGGGCCCGGCCCGGGATCTAGACGGCCGTGGGGGAGGGGAGCCGCCCTCGCGCGGCGCCGCTGCAGGACCGCGGCGCTCGACGCCGCCGTGCCGGCCGCGGGCCGCCGCTGTTTCCCCCTCGCATTGTGCTTCAGTGAAGTGGAGTAAGATGTCTACTAGGACCCCGCTGCCGACGGTGAATGAACGAGACACTGAGAACGTAAGTGGCCTGGGCGTTCGCGGGCCGCCCCGGGCGGAGCGCGACAGCAGCCTCGCCGTCGGCCGCGGCGCCGGGCCCTCTGGGAGCGGAGGGCAGGCCGGAGGCAGCGGGCGGAGCGTTTCCTGGGGAGGGCAGCCGTCCGGCCGCGCGTGCGGGGCCGCGCGGCGTCCTGTTTGTGACTCGAGCCGGGCCGCGGCGGTTCCGTCGGCGTCTGGGGAGGCTGGGGTGCCGCGTCGTGCGGGTGGCCGGAGCTCCGCGGTGTTTAGTGCTTCTTGCACCCAGACTCTCGCTCCGAGTTGGGCAGACAGCTCTGGAGAGCCGGTCGGGTTAGAAACGTGTCCGCGGTGCCTGTTGAAGGTAACTCATGGGGTCACGCGGACCGTCCGCTGTGCCTCCTTGTTTGAGACGACCGTCGCTAAGACCAGGTGCCCGCCGAGGAGTCCCGGCGGCCCCGTGGACGGCGCTGCAGAGCCGTTCGGGAGAGGGGTGCTCAGAGCGCGCGCGGACTGCGGGGAGGGCGGCTCCGTTTCCGCACGAATCTGTCTGGAAGGGGTTGGTAAGCCTTTTGGGAGGAAGAGGCGAGCTAAGGCTGCCCTGCCGCTCGCGGCCTGGCTGAGGGACGCCGCTCTCGGCTCCGCGGGGGAGAGTGGCTGAGGGGGGCTCTCAGGCCCCTGCGGCGCTCACGCCCTGGGATTCTGTATGAGGAGCCTTTGATTTTGTTCCTGTAACCCTTTCAGAAAGGCCAGGAGGAGCATTTTTAGGGAATGACAACTTGTAGGCATTCCGTTGGAGAAGTGTTGACTGTCCGAGTGCCTTCTGAACCCTTCTCTGGCGCTGGGTTCAGAACCTCCGATCTAGCTGAGTTATCTTCGGTGAAACATCTAGGAAGTAACTCGTAAACAAGCTTCGCTGGCCTTTCCTTGTAAGTGTTGTGAGGTAGTTCCTGGCAAGAAAATGCTGTCACCTAGGAAGAGCCTCCTCACTCTGCCTGTTTTCCTGCTTTCAATAACGTCCTGAGACAGTGTGGCCTAGTGGTATCAAATACCTTCCTTTTAATCTTCAAAATGCCACTTCTTTGCTGGATACCTATTAGGTGATGTAATCTGTTTATGTAAACCTTGGTCTAAAGCATGCCTCTAGTAACTTAATGTATAGTATTTAATGGTCTTTAACCTGGTCAGTAAGTAGTACGCGGCTGTACGTTCCTTTACCTGAGATGGATTAGAAAATTACACAAAGAGTGAGTAATAGAAATTGTAGACTAGGTGAGTCAGTGAACTCACTTTCTTGTAGACCTTTTGAAGAACCTATTTCTGACCTCATCATTTTCCTGTTCTTTGACTGCCCTGTAGAGTGGAGCAAGTAAAAAAGTGAATTGATTAGCTTTGATCATTGACTTTCATTCAGAGAAGCAAAATCTTACATTGAACCAGAGCAGGAGCTCTATACTTCCTCAATAAACTCAAGCCAAAAACAATCAAAACAGATTTGTAATAATGAAGGATTTACACCAATGGGTCTTTACCGTGTTCTGTGGAGAATTTGTTGAATTATGTTGTAATTTTTTTGTTTCATTAGAAATTACTAGCTTTAGTCTTTAAAAACAACGTAGGGTATAGAGTGTGCCTTTATTTTCATGAAATGTGTTTAAAATAGCATGTTTGACAGCGTTAAAATCAGAGGTTTCCAGCACTTAATTGCATTAACTCACCATGCTCTGTTCCATTTTTAACTCTGGTATTGGCATGTTCTGGAAGTAGTTGCATGTCTTTTGCAGTGTGATGCTCTTGTATCAGTGTTATACGTCTGGCATATACCATGTTATTTACCTATCATTACTAAACTAGGTATTAGACTTCCTGCTGATTGAATGGTGAGGGTACAAGAATGATTGAGAGCTCTGAGTCTCTTGAGCAACTCTTGTTAAAGTCAGGTTTATTGAGAGAGAACATTGACTGTTGAAGTGTACAGTTTGATGCGTTTTGATACCATCACAGTCAAGGTGTAGACATTTCCATTGCCCAAAAAGGTCCCTTGTGGCCCCTTTCCCAGTTAGTCTTCTCTCCCTTCCCCCAGCCCCTGGCAACCACTGATTTGTTATCTGTCCCTATGGTTTTACCTTTTCTAGAATGTTGTATAAATGGAGAGTGTATAATCTTGTGTCTGGCACCTTTCATTTAGCGTCATACTTTTGGGATTTATTCGTGGTTGTGTGCATATCAGTAGTTCATTCCTTTTTATTGCTGAGTAGTAAGTAGTTCATTAGGTATACCAGAGATTTTTTTAAAAAATTTTATTGAGGTCATAATAGTTTATAACATTGTGAAATTTCAGTTGTACATTGTTATTTGTCACTCACCATATAAATGTACCCCATTACCCCTTATGGCCACTCCCCCCAACCCCTTCCCCTTTGGTAACCACCAATCCCTTCTCTTTGTCCATTTACTAGTTTATCTTCCACATATGAGTGAAATCATATGGTGTTTGTCTTTCTCTGTCTGGCTTATTTCGCTTAACATAATACCCTCAAGGTCCACCCATGTTGTTGCGAATGGAATGATTTTGTCCTTTTTTATAGCTGAGTAGTGGTCCATGGTGTATGTGTGTATGCACGTACATATATATATCTCTCTCACATCTTCTTTATCCAGTCATCAGTCACTGGGCACTTGGGTTGCTTCCACTTCTTGGCTATTGTGAATAATGCTGCAATGGACATAGGGGTGCATTAGTCTCTTTGAATTGTTGATTTCAAGTTTTTTGGATAAATACCCAGTGGTGGGATGGCTGGGTCATATGATATTTCAATTTTTAATTTTTTGAGACATCTCTATACTGTTTTCCATAGTGGCTGCACCAGTTTGCATTCGCACCAGCAGTGTATGAGGGTTCCCTTTTCTCCACACCCTCTCCAACACTTGTTATTTCTCATCCTGTTAAGTATAGCCATTCTGACGAGTGTGAAGTGATATTTCATTGTACTTTTGATTTTTATTTCCCTGAGATTAGTGATGTCGAACATCTTACGTGTGCCTATTGGCCATCTGCATATCTTCTTTAGAAAAATGTTCACATCCTCTGCCCGTTGTTTTGATCAGGTTGCTTATTTTTTGTTGTTGTTGAGTTGTATGAGTTCTTTATGTGTTTTGGAGATTAACCCCTTGTAAGATATACGATTTGCAAATATTTTCTTCTAGTTGGTGGGTTGTCTTTTTCGTTTTGTCCTGGTTTCCTTTGCCTTGCAGAAGCTCTTTACTCTGATGAAGTCCCACTTGTTTATTTTTTCTTTTATTTCCCTTGCCGGAGTAGACATGGTATTCAAAAAGATCTTCTAACACCAATGTCAAAGAGTATACTGCCTATATTTTCTTTTGGGAGTTCCATGGTTTCAAGTCTTACCTTCAAGTCTTTGATCCATTTTGAGTTAATTTTTGCTTATGGTGGAAGATAATGGTCTCTTTTTGTTCTTTTGCATGTGGCTGTCCAGTTTTCCAAACACCATTTATTGAAGAGCTTTCCTTTCTCCATTGTATGTTCTTGGCTCCTTTGTCGAAAAATAGCTGTCCGTGCATGTGTGGTTTTATTTCTGGGCTTTCAATTCTGTTCCATTGATCTGTGCGCCTGTTTTTGTACCAGTACCATGCTGTTTTGATCACTAGGCTTGTACTATATTTTGAAGTCAGAGATTGTGATGCCTCCAGTTTTGCTCATTTTTCTGAGGATTGCTTTAGCTATTCTGGGTCTTTGGTTACCCCATATGAATTTTAGGATTCTTTGTTCTGTTTCCGTGAAGAATGTCATTGGGATTCTGATTGGGATGGCATTGAATCTGTAGATTGCTTTAGGTAGTATGGACATTTTAGCTATTTTATTCTTCCAATCCATGTGCATGGAATATCTTTCCATTTCTTTATGTCATCATCGGTTTCTTTCAATAACTTTTTATAGTTTTCATTGTATAGGTCTTTCACCTCCTTGATGAAATTTATTCCTAGATATTTTATTCCTTCTGTTGCCATTGTAAATGGCATTGTATTCTTGAATTCTCTATTAGCTCGTTATTAGAGTATAGAAATTCAGCTGACTTGTAAATTGATTCTGTACTCTGCAACTTTGCTGTAGTTGTTGATTATTTCTAGTAGTTTTACCACAGTTTTTTTAGTCCATTCTCCAGTTGATGGACATTTTGGCTATTATGACTAGAACATCTTTGTCTTTCTATTTTGTAAAAAGACTTTCTGTTTTGCTTACCCTAGGAGTCTTATTTAAATTATTTATTTTATGTTTAAATTATATATACCTGTGATAAGAATGTTGCTTGTAGATCAAGAATAATAAAAGGCAGATAATTTGCAACAAGAATATTATCTTCATCCTAGTACACTACTCTATTTTCATGTGTTTGATTTCCAAATATGAATTTCCCCCTTTTGCTGATGAGTCTGATATACTGTTATCAAGTCATTTTATAACTCAAAAGGACTAGTCAGACAGTCTGACCTAATAAGGATAAGAGAGGTGACAGGAGATGCTTTTCACCACTCACTATTTAGTAGCACAGCCTCTGCTAGGCCCCAGATCTCCAGCTCAGTCCCCTCTGCTTTTTTGTACCAGCCTGTTTCTCAAAAGCTTATGTACTAATTATTCAACTAGGGAGATAAGGTTGTACCAATATACAGAGTATATTTAACAAAATATTTTTTAAAATCTTATTTTATAGAAAATTTCAAACAAATAATTAGAATTCAATAAGTATTTATCAATGGTTCTCCACCAGGGACAATTTTGCCCCCAGGGGGACATTTTACAACGTCCAGAGACATTTTTGGTTGTCACAGCTGAAGAGGATTGCTACTGACTGGGAATGCTGCTGAACGTTTTACAGTACACAAGACAGCACCCCCCCTTCTCCCAACAAAGAACTTTCTGGTCCAAAATGTCAGTAGTACCAGGGTTGAGAAACCCGGGTATATAGATAGCCACCAGGTACTCCACAG